TAAATTTTATGTTTAATACCAGCCGGTGATTATATAGCCGTTCTTTCTCTTGTCTAAATAAAACATATTTTTTGTCGAAATAATAGAAATTAATAAAACTAAACTACAGTGGGGTCTCTGTTTCTTTTTTTGAGTATGTATATTCTGCAATATTTTTATACATTACTAAACCACGTTTATTCGTAATTAATAGATTATACTCTTTTTTATTGGGTGAATTGGATTACTGTCAGATGCTTGGATCTGTAGCACATACATACACTCCCTGTTATTTAAAGAAACTAACATTGTTACTTTTGTAGTCGGTTCGTATTCATGGAGTCTTAATTTATCAATGTCTATATATTTATAAGCACATACTTCACGCAGTTTTTTGTGCATAGATTTAGACAAAGAAAAATGGGTATCTTTTGTAAAATAACTGATATACAGGAAAATCATACCGATGGTCTAACTTACTTCATTCTTCACCGGTATTCTCCAATGCTTATTCTTCTTATAGCATTATTACAGGTAAAATCACCATCACCTTTTATGACAAATCATGTGAGTTAACGCGTACCTTGGTCAGAGACGATTGTCTAGTTCTGATTGCTTTGTTATGTATGTTTTATACACGGGGTTCTATTCTAGGATTATGTCACTTAAAGTCCACATCCATCTTTTATCATCACATTACTCACCACCAACAGGGAATTCTCATAGAACCTAAATGGTCACGTACAGTACGATTTCAGAGAAATTTCCTCTCACGAACACTCAGATTGTGGACTGAGTTTCCTATCGAGGTTTTCTCTGGAGAGGGCGGAATGAGTTTTTTCAAAAAGGGCATATTGAGGTTTCTTCAGGGTCTGCAATGAGCACGTCACACCCTAGTAGCTTCAAGTGCCCATAGGCAACAGTAACCATTTATGTATAATAGATGGTAGAAAAATACACAAAATAATTATATTCATCAGTAACACAGACGGTATCTTCTTGTCTAGAAGTTATTTTGAACCAGAACTGTTATATAAAGCATGTTACTAAAGAATTATTTAATGTCGAAAAAGGGGAGCACACTATCTCTAATTCTTATGACATTAATAAAAAACAAAAGATGGCGGGCGTTCACTCTCTTTCGCTCTTTCTTCTTTTTTATTTAAAAGAATGGTCTCTTTATAACCGGCCAGTTACTAATTTCAGAACTCCAGTGGGTATATCGACCAGAATATGAAGGCAATAGGTGAGCAATAGATTATATTTTTAAACTAGCTGACGTCATGTACATTGCATTGTAAAATAATATATATTTTTAAATTTTATTTTTACAACAAAATATTCTTTTTACATTTAACGTTGTCAGGTTATATGTGCATATAATTAATGGACTTAATTACAAAGGGAACTTAATAATGATTCAATCTCATGTAACTACATTTTCGTCTGTTAGTATCGTGCGATATATCTTATGAAACATTTTGGTTTTCTCGTAGAATAATTGACGAACTTTGACTTCCTGCCGCAAATAGGAGTGCGGCAAACGTAATTTCGACTTCTGCTAATGCGAATCTCGATTGTAATAAAGTTAGAGGTTAATCTGAAACAACTTTGAATTGGGAATAACATTAAAGAATATTTAGGTCCATTACGCGGGTATAATAAATGAGTTACTTGGAAATCTACTCGAAATTGTTTCCTGCGTTTTCTTCTCAGTTGTAACTACTTTACCAAGTACGTGACAGAAATTAGCAATTGACCTAATTTGTTATGAGAGTAATAAGAATATTTATTTTTAATAAAAGTAATAATCATAATAATAATCAGTCTCTTATCTATAATATCGAAGAATTTCGACAATATATAATGTATGATAATAATAATAGTAATAGTTATATCCGAACCGATACGATATTGAAACTTTCAAGAAGCTTATTCTTTCTTTAAATACCAGCAACGCACTTGCATTTCCCCTGGTCTCGCGATTTCCCAGGTGCTCATGGGTGAGGGTAATCACTTAACATCAAGTATAAAAAAAATAACACTCATAATCATATACGCAGTAATGCAAACAAACACACACACACGCATTACACTTACTTGACACAATACACTAACTTGCCTATAAGCATGATATATAGCAATAATAAACAAACCAGACTCTTGAATAACTTGATGAAATAATAATAAAATGCTTAAAAGACTACTACCCTACATGTGGTCTGTGAATTAGTCAATTCTAGACGACATGTTGAACCTACGGGACATGCCCACATTTCAGTTGATATCCTACTGCCATGTCTCGAAACTCACTCAAAAGTTGTCACTCAAGTATACATATTTTGTACTATAAAGACGTAATCTACATCAAGCCACAAGCCACGTTGTGAATATTAACATATTATGCCGTACTGACTTTCGAACGACTTACATTCCCAATCAAGCAAAAAAGGCTGCTTTATTATGAATATACCGACGGTACTCTTAAATAAATAAAAAAATGAATAAATGCTGTTACTATTAGAACATATTCCCTAACAGAAATCAAAGCTATGATAGAAAAGTACGCAATATACATGAATACTTCGACAGTTACATACATCAATAAAGTAAATCCATATACAATTTTATTCCAACGATAAATCCGTAAGATGGTAGATATTGTAATAATCTCAAATCGAATAGGCATAAAACGTCAACAAAATATATGATCTGCTCGGTATTATTTCCCATCGGAGTACCTCAAGTGGACGTCTTATATCGATTTATGTACTTACACACCAGTAGAGCACTCAAAATAAAAAAAACTACATTCGTCATCATCGTTCTTAGGTACTTAAATTATTTTTGTATATACGTACCTACATAAAATGCATGGAAATTACGTAAATAAATATATACAAACAATGCGAACCCAGTATCTACCACCGAAAATGTTATATAGTATGAATTTTTTTGTGGTTTATAAAAAATACTGTGTTATTTCATTATATTCTGTAATAGTGGAGTTATGAATCTTAAATATACTTAATTAATACAAAGTGATAATGTGATGTTACTTAACAAAATACAAATTAATAATAAAATAAAAACAAGCTTTTATATAATGTCAATAAAAAAATAATACAAACATTAAATAAGAAGAAACTTGACGAAAGCTAACGAAAAGATAATTAGGAAAGTCTACATTAAAAGAGGTTACTCGCAGCGGTTTAATGACCAATCGACATGAAAGACAAGAACGTAGTAGGTGTCATTGAGAAAGATGATCAAATACTACTTTTTATGCACCATAACAATGCACTCTGACGAAATTTAATATTGACATAACACACCTTGATGAAATTGCATGTAAAATAAAATCAACTATTATAATATACGACCACACTTATGTACATGCAAATGTAAATTCAAAGTAAGTACTGATAAACGTTGAAAATTCATTTAATACAGCTAGAAGCGATCCAATTATGCGCTAAGTTGCCTGACGAGGAAATGAAATACGAAATCCACAACCTGGCCAATTATTTGCATTTTCTCAAACAACTTCTTGCCATTCAATTTATTCTCGAGTACTTAAAAGCCACTTAAAAACTTAAAACTCGTATCTGGATGGCTCACGTGGCGAGATAAGGTTCATTATGCACTGGAAGTAGATGGGATTAAATAAGGTACATAATGCGTCTTTTGGGCTTAGTTTCGCAGTTACCGAGATACAGGATAACTTTTATGAAACAGAATTATGTTTTGAATAAAATATTAAGGTCGCCTCAGTGCGGCGAGGATTTTAAGAGTTGCTTTATCCGAAATTTGATGACAGCTTGTTGCCAACAGGTTTCAAATTAATACGATAATATAGTCTTGAAATTTCTACTTATACAGTTAAGATTTATTTTAGATACTTACCGAATTATTATGCAGGAGTAATTGTATAATTCCATATAGTGTGAGAGTAATAATAAAATGTGTTCTTTTTATTCCCAGTGTGTAGAATGAGCAACCTATAAATCATATTGCAGAGACTATTATAAAAAGAATGATGAAAATGAATGAAAAATCCCTTCAGGAATTTTTGTCTCACTCAAATGGTAAACAAGCGAAGAGTTGTTCATTCGTTTCGGAATTCAAATGATATGTTATGTCATATAACAGTTTAAAGGTTAGAAAAAAGATATTAGTTAATGGAATATAAATGTCAGTCTTAACTATATCACTCACTGTAAATTATACCTTGTTTTTGTGAAACAGAATTGAGTCGTGATGAATATTGACGTTGGGGTTCAAGAGAGCTGAATTTATAATTTTATTCACGACCGATGTTACTGTACACAAGGGGGTTGTTTGGAGTGCTTCGCGCCTTCGAAATGCTAACAATCGATCTTAATTTCAAATGAAGACGTAAATGGAAATTTTGAAACGATATCAATCAGCTTTATTAACAAATCTTTGCTAAGGGTACTTATATCAATTTGAAATTCAATTGTATAAAAAATTATGAGTCCCTTATAGCCGACCTGGAATATATAGGCAACATGTTAAAATGTTAAACCAAAAATTACCTTTCAGGTAGTATCCATTGTATTTAACTAGCTAGTCGCCCTGGTTCTGCACGGGTGTACATGTATTATACATATTAACATTACTCTCTAATCACTCCATGTATTGCTAAAAACTGCAGTAAAATCTGTTGCCTAGTTTAAAAGATGTAAGCGAATAGAGAGCGGAAGCGACTTCAGTATATACTGAAGAAATATAACTAATTGTTTACATAAGCAGTAGTCAAATTATTAAATAAAAATATTTAAAAAAGAACCTTTATTAAAGTTTTATTTTTAAGTATTTTTATTTAATACAGCTACAATATATTTCAGTAAAAATCGTAGCAAAAATAACCTATACTCGTAGATTACCATTATAAGAGTGTTTTTGGTAATTCTCTCGGGAAATAACGTTTTCATGCCGCTGACATCGTTGAAAAAACAATTTTTTTTTAATGTAATATAAAAATTCATTTTGTTACAGGTTTCGATATGATGTAGAACAATGTGTGCGCCGGCCACCGCGGCGCTTCTGCTCGCCGCGCTTTCTGCTCTGCCTTGTCGAGGTAATATTGTTTGTTTTTATACCTGCTGTGAATTACAGCATATCTATATCCAAAAATCGTTACCGGTTTAAAAAAAATCTATTACAAATGTATATAAGTAGTATGTATATTATACCATAATAAATAGAATATCAGATGAAGTACAGTTTATAAAAAGTATTCTATACAGAAGTATAAGAATCTCAGTATCACTTGTTTCAACTGTCAAGCAGCTTATTTTATAAGCTGTGTTTTGGTAATGAGGTAAAATTAAGTAGTAAAATTACAGGATAAGAGGCATGACATCTTTATACCTTACTTTCCACCTTATCAGGTTAGCCATCAGCTTGTTTGCAATTTCAATAATTTAAAAAAAACTCACACTCTCCCAGTTATTAGAACATGGGCGAAGTCGGGGCGGGCAACTAGTCATTAATATTAGGACCTTGACATAATATAGTGTTTCGTATAACTGTATCACTAGAGTACATATTATATACTACAGCCCATTTAGAAGACTAAACTAAGCACCTTACAACCTATATTAGAAAATCTAATTGTAACTTATAAGTAAATTTGTTAATAAATATTCTTTCTATTTTTCATATACCATTAGATAAAGCCTATACGCACTGAATACTTTCACATTGCGGACGTTTTTAAGAGTATTATATTATTATTACGAGGAAAAAATTAAGGAAAAGAAGTCCGAGATAGTAGTGTAAATATAGAATCTTTTGAGACTCAAATGTTTACCTCAGATAGACTTACAAAAATATGTAGGCTCATTAAAATTACTAACATAATTCAGTCACTTAATGTATTTGCTATCATATTTGTATCTATTTTCAATAAAACTTTTTTTTTTATAAAAACGTCATTATTAAATACATCTGTTTTGTTATCAAGAAGACATTTATTGGGAAAGGCTCAAATTGTCATCGCGGAGAATTCCTCGAAATCTATTATTCTCAGCTGAAATATTTATCCTTGTCCCTTGAAACTGTTTGTTCTGAGTTCTATTTCCAAAGAAACGGCTTCGCGCAAACGGTTTTGTAAACGGTGGGGGCCATTTAAAAATATTTTCCTATTAGCACAAACGCGCTACTCAGAAATTAAATTGCAAGATCTGAAGGGCGCCGGTATTCCTTAAGTGTACTTATTATATTTTAATTCTACGAGATATTTTTAATAGAGCGTGGCAGAAGCTATGTCCACAGAAAATTTACGATTCGTTCTTTGGCTCAGATTTGAGTTTTCTATTACGAAAATGAAATACTACATAGCATATATTCTAAAATTTTCTTGACTTCAAGAAACTAATTACACATTTAGCCGTTATTCGTTTATTATTCGTATTCCGTTTTGTTATTAATCAAATTTTTGTTGTTCTCTTTTGTTGTTCAATTATAATTAAAAATTTAAGTGTGTGAATACGGAAGGCGGAAAATCACACACGTGTTGGCATTGGAAAAAGCCTATGTCCAACAATGGATAAATACCGATGAAATGATGATGACTTACAGTTATTCTTTTATTAAAATGAACTCTGTTTTTATAATCAATGTACAATTTACTTTTATTATTTCAATTAGCGTTATGTAAATTTTGGGATTCCGGATATAAAATGTTTTGTCGAAGTTTGTATCTAATAATTGGATTTTGGTGTTGTTATCCTCGTAAACGAACAATTAAAAAGATTTGAATAAAAATTGGTACTCTATTGTCTACAGAAAATATTGTAAATTGTATGTTAATTTAAAATGAATTGATATAGAATATTTTTATACTGAAACTCAGATACTGCTGAGACCAAAGTCAATTTGAATAGAAGACTATCGATTTCTCCATACCTCGATAATATTTGTTTTATCTATAGTAACATTCAACGCCACAGCTTATTTGTAATAAGCTGCGGCTCTGATTAGATATACGCCTAAAATGCTTCGTTTTCTTTTCCAGGAACTGACGCCGACATAAATTCAAAAATATTAAATGAAACTGAGGAAAATCAAGAAATTAGAACACAACCGACTGTAAATAGAATCTATCAAATACTCTACGTGAACCCGAACTTACATAATCAAACTATCAACAATATTAATAACTCTAGTCTTAATCTCATACATAATTTAAACTCCGAAATAAGCACTACAGCTACTGATAAGAATATGGAATGTTGCCATAATATTGGTATCATTGATAAAACAAATAATGTAAGTGTATCAGACGAGGGTGCTAATGTAGTAGTAAAAGAAATAAGGTTAAAACAAAAGAGAAATAGGAATAGGCGGGTTGTGAACGTTATACGGACAGATGAGGTCACTGTGAGTGACGTTAGGTTAGTTTCAACTGTAACAGTGCCAAGTTTAGCACCGTTTTCTGAGAAGAGACGCAAGCCTGGAGAGACTGGATCGAGTGCGCCGCTATTGAATTATATATTTGACACGTACTCTAACACACATCAGCACAGAAATCATAAGTGAGTAACTATTTGCTTAATTAAACAATGAAATAGTAATTGAATAGTTTTACAGTATCTACAGTAAAATATAATTAGAGTGTTCAGACAATATATATAATAAACGGGTTTTAACATGAATTATTTTATTTTATTTACCTTTCTTGACGTTTTGAGTAGGTTGCACTAGCCGTGGTGACAAGCTAACTGCTCAGCTAGTGCAACCTAGTAATTTGTAAAATATAAAAAAAAACACGAAAGTTTAAAAATAACATTAAACTAACATTACTCACTAACTTTATTTTAAATCTTAATCACCCAATAAGATTAGTAATATCTAAATGTAAAGTTTTAAAAATGTACATCTTTTTTAATTCTAACTTTTTATTTATTAAAAAATGAAAGGTCTTATTTATTAGACACTAAGAAGTAAATTATATATTTTTTTATTAGGTATATTTATTAGGTACTTTAAATTTGTCATAATTGCAAATATGAGGTATGATTTCTTTAGTTCACATGATTTTATACCTACAAATCTATTTAAGAATATAATCTACATGATAACAAATAATAAAATTAATGTTGAATTTGGATAGAACAAAATACATAATCGAAAGCTAAAATTTTTAACGGACCACTTTCAGACCGTAAATTCAAACTCTTGCTATCTTGAAATCTAAAGAACCATAAATTGATCCGAACAAAGTCTTGAATTTGTAGTCTAGATAGTCTTTACGATGCATAGTTATTTCCCAGTGCGTTCGTCCCATATTTTGCAACATTGCTGCATATTTATTAGATTGTACGAATACAAGACTTTGTTCTGCCACAAATAAAATGTTGTTTCACGTTATTTTTATTCATGAACGATAAAAGAGATGTGATTAAAAACACAAATTTGTCTGAATACAATACAAGTTGTTAATTATAAAATGTAAACAGTACATTTAGCTTCAATATTGACAATATTGAAGCTGAATGTACCATTTACTTTATTTAATTACGAGGGATACATAATACTTTTATTATTTATTTTACTTTATATATTTTTATTTGTTTATTTATTTTTGTATTGTTTCATCAGAATTTAATCTCGAGTACTACTTCAATAAATGTCTGGCACCACTAATTCAACCGTACGTTTCCATTTAAGGGTGAGACAAGGTAGTAAAATTACAAGATGCGTTGAAATTGCTGGAAAAATACAGACATCTTGGTCCTACGGAAAGGAATCTTGGAGTCAGATTTGCCATTCCATTCGTATAAAAAAACTCATCATAATTTGAATTATTTGTGTTTCAACTCAACTCAACTAAAAATACGATTGCGGCCCTGAAAGGGCGTAGAGTCAGTATAACAGAAACAAAGTGTAATCATCACCCTTAGTAATTTATTCAACTGAATTCAAAACTACCATAAACTAAAGTTTGACTAATATTTATTTAGGGCTGGAAATGGTAACAGTATATACGCAGCCGCTGCTCCAGAAATAGAAGCCTTGGTTGGGTCCACGGCACACCTCGATTGCAAAGTTGACGCACTCCACGATAAACTGGTAATAAGTATGTTTCATTGTATTACAAATTGCTTAGCATTGGTTTCTTTAAAACCGTTACGACTATTACTCTAGATGGACTGGTCATAAGCATAGTCGATGTTGTGGAGAATGCCATACTCAACGTGCCTACATTTCGCTGGGTAGATTTCAACGTGGCAAGGGACAAACCTGTGGCCGTATCTCGGATAAATTTCTGATTTGATACCGGTGTTTGCTTCACCGCAGAATCAGACAGAAATATAAACTGACACTCAAACATTTTTTTTATAGTGTCGGCTAATGAACTCTTCGATTTTAATTAATGGAAATAAACAAATAGACACTCAAGTCTCTATAGTATCGAATAACTAACTAAACTTGATAATGATATTGTTTACATAATAGATATAGTTGTAAATGTTGAAAACTTAAGTTGAACTGTAGTGGATAAGTTACTTAACGAGTATTTGCAAAGCAATTGTTAATTGAAATCGTAACAAAAACATGAACGACCTAATGTAGTTATAAAGTGGTAAAGATGGAAGTAAAATAAATCTAAAGTATTGAACATGCTCGAATGATCTTGAATCTGTACTAGAATACATAGATCGATGCATTAGTAGTACACCATGCGCCATTATCACTACCTGTCATTCGGACATTGTCGGCACGCGGGACATCATATCATGCTCATAACAAAGACAGCTTTCAGTGTATTACAATTATTATATAATTAAATTCATGTAATGGTAAATAATTTCATTTACTTTTTTTAAAAAGGTATCATGGGTGCGGCGGAAAAACGACGAGGAGCCGATGGATCTTTTAACCACCGGCACTCAGCAGTATACAGCTGACGACCGGTACATATATTTCTTTCTTTTCTTTTGTTACGTGCCTCAGTCTTACATTACAGTAGTCAAACAGCTTGCTTTTTAAGTTGTGTTTGAAAGATGCGATTAGGCAGTGAATTTAACTGGATAAAAGGATGAAATCTTAGTTCTTCTGGAATGGCAACGAAATGTTATCATTTCGCATACATAATACCACTCGTATTATGAATACGAAATGATAACATGTTGCCCATACTGCTGTTCATGTACATATATATAGTCTCGTTCTAGGAGCTATCATCATGTGTTATAATTTTAGTTTGATATGACATTTGATTTCAAAATTTCTACGAAAACTAACAAGTTCCGGTTTATGCAATCTACATGATTGCATAAACCGGAACTTGTTAGTTTGTATCGATGTGAGAAAACAAGTTGGTATCGACTTGATTTTCGTATTTATATCGATGCTCAATATTCCTATCGATACGGAAGTTGACATAAATATACTCGAAACGAAGTCAATTGGAAAATTAACTTCGAAGAGACTCTTACTACTATACATGTAAATGTACGTGCATTTTAAAATACAAACCAGTCCGAATTTACCATTACTCAGAGTCTAATCCAAAATTAATAACAATATTAAATATAATTGTCTTTAGAAAAGATAAAGATAACAAAAGAATTAGATTAGAGCCCTGTGGAACTCCTAATATTTGAAACAAAAATACTTTAATATGTTAAACATATATAATTCACACTGATATAGTGTGAATTATATATGTTAATTACTATAATCATAAATATAACTATATCATTTTAAATATATTATTTTCAATTAAATATAATCAATTAAAAATAAAAATACTATATATCGTCATAATACAAATCTTTCTTCAAACCTATTAATACTATTCCTGTAAATGTAAATGTTTTAGTATCTATTACGTGGTTAATTAATTACGAAGTAGTTAAACTTTTCCATTCAATTTGAATTATCAATTATTACATTTGCAGGTACTCCGCCCGTTTTATTCCACCAGATATATGGAGATTAGAGATTAAAGAGGTCAGGCCTACTGATGCAGCTCATTACGACTGCCAACTGTCTGCCCATCCGCCCCGCACTGCAAGGGTTACTCTACTTGTACCTGGTATGTACGAGTATCAAAAACGTTTATGAAATATACTCAGAATGTTAGAGAAATTGAAAGAGAGCTATTTCATTTTATTGCTTGACAAATAAACAAAGAAAGGAATGTCTATTGTTTCTCAATTTAATATATATGTTGCATAAAAGAAATAGAACTGAAGAATATATTGTATGAACGTTTCATATACGAAGTTTACTACTACATATGACGATTCTTAGGAAAGAAATAATATTTCATCTAAAACTGATAACATAATAAAGCACAAGCTTTATATAAAGCTAGTAGATATGTAGAGTTAAAAGAATTATTCCATCAAAAAAACAAATTATAGGTTAGTCAAATCAGTCAAAATCTTGTTTAGGCAGTAAGAAAGAAAAAAGTTAATCATTTACAATATTATCAACAAAGTCACTCAAATTCTTCACCATTTAAATACTTACATTTTTATCAGAAGTGTCAGTGCGTGTGGTCGACGGCGCCGGAGCAGAAGTGTCTGAGCAAGTTTGCGAAGTTGGAAGCACTGTGGCGCTTCGCTGTGAAGTCAGAGGACTACGTATGGAAGGCGGCCCATCGCTTCTGTGGTATCGCAGAGAAGCGTTGCTGAATGACGATACTACGAGGGGAGGCATTAGGTAAATATTTGTAATAAACAGGATAAGGTCACATAGAGACTGCCAAATCGTGGATTTTACATGGACATTTTACTGTCATATCTTTTGCCTGCATGGTGTTATGATTGCAATAATACATCATATTTCGACTATAATGTTTCGTTCTTTAAGTGTGTTGTACGGTCGGTACCGTTAACCACAGGTTTGACTGCATGCTTGCTTGCCACACAGCATAAAAAAAAAATATAGACTTTGAGAACCCACCCCCATCCTTGTCAACATTTATAAAACACCACCCTTTCTAGTGTGATGTTTCAATATTAAAGTTTGAAATAATACTTAAAATTTTGTATTTAATACCTGTTTCAATCAGAAATGTGACAAATGGACAAAAGGACCCATCCCACCCCTTGTCACACAGCGTCACACTTTGTCACACTTTATCGATTTTCCTTCCACCCCTTAACGTGTGATATAACTTAAGGATGATTCCTAATATATATATTGATAAGCATACTAAATTTTATTAATCAAATTGACCAATTTATTCAATAATAACAATTTTTTACGATAAAAAATAAAAATATTAAATAGTTGTTCCTTGTTTTCTAACAATACACTACTTAAAGTGACCCACCCAAAAATGTTTGTGTATCTATCTATATTTTAAAAACATACCATATTGTATATTAAGATGGCCAATGAAAATGCATATTACATTAAAATGTTTGTCATGTATAGTGTTCGTACGGAGTTCGGCGCAAATGGCGCCAATTCGGTACTGCGAGTTGCGCGCGTGCGTAATGACGATGCAGGGAGATATACGTGCAGTGTTGCGCGCGCACCGCCACCATCCCCGCCGCCTGCGCACGTCGTCTTACACGTGATTAAAGGTAACTAGTTATTTAATAAATTTATATTATTTCATGTTATCACTAATAGGGAAGGTCAGGTAATGCTCCTAATAGCGGTGGTCAGGGTTCCGTAATTCTTTTTGCTCACATACATACTTTGTGACGTATGCATGTGTGTGACCAAAACAATTTACACAAAACCAAGTCCAGTAAGTATTGGAATGAATTTTCGCAGAATAAGGCCTAACTCAATACAATATATAACCAGTTATATCACCGAATACAATGGCTATATAAGATGAGACTCTGTGCCTTTCCTAGCTAAGGATATATTGTACAAAAAGATAAAGGTAACTAATGGGCAGTCCTTAATTTATGTCTTATTTTAAGGTGTCGATAAGTGTTTGCACCGATGGGGGTGGTATATTCTCCGGTATAAACCCTCAATATTTAATATAGGACAAGAAATTGGATATATTCATTCTTTTTCTTCTTTCATTTCAATGGCAACTAAATATAATTTCCTCAGAATGTTGCGACGACTTTTGCGCATTCTGTCGCATTTTTTAGATCTTTGTGCAAGATGTTGAGCACAAAGGACAGGCCAATAGATGGGCTATAGTCTGGGATGGCGCTCCGCAGTCACGAGCCTCCCTTGAAGCGATACCCCATTTTACCAAGTTGTACCTGCAGCGGCCCATCTGGGTTCGCAGTCTGTTAAGCGATTTCCAAATGGGCCTTTGCAGGTCGCTACTTAGGGGCGGGTGTTCGGTTGGTTCAATAAAGTCTAACAGAGTAAGATGATTTAACTTCCATAAGTCTGCTTTGGCTTTATGTGGATCGTAGGATAAAGATTTTGTCTTTCTTAAAAAACTCTTTCTGCTTTTTAAGCGTATGTATTAATGCAAAACTTAAATCAAGAAATTCGTGTGGGTACCTATTTACAATAAGCGACACTTACACCTAGGGTATATATTTGCATCCCAGTTTCAATGGTTGTTCAGTAATAGGTTTGATTTGCAGAAAAGCTAATAAATTTTTAGTAAAAATCAAGTAGGTACTACTTTTACTTCGTTACCTAGTAAACTTTATACGGGGTATTCAAACTTTTATAAATACTTATCAGTATTTCAATCTTGTTTCATTATAAATTATTAATTTTTAAATCGATAAATTAATTTAGTCTCTACAACGCGGATAAATAGAACTCATTTTCGAATAATTAGCCCACAGAATCCATAATTGATTACCTACTTAATACATATAAATAACTTAAGGGAAGTTAACATGAAGTAAGTTATAATAAAGATGGTACAGTCAGACCGTATATAATTTTAAATACTCTATAGAAATAATATATAAGGTATAACTTAAATTTCCATTTTCATGATGTCAAGTTTAATTAAGATCCGTTAGCCGTTTAGTCGTAAAAAGACAATAGACAGATAGAAATACTTTTGCATTCATATTAGTATGGCTTTTGATTTTATTTCTCCTATTGTTCTTAATAATTTAGTCCGGTTGAAATACAGAGTAAATAAATGTCATGTCGTCTTCTATGCGGTTTCACCTGGAAACCATGGTGATAAATTTCTAATAAAGCCACAATGTCCTAACTAACCGACTAATATAACCTCATGCTCATTTTATCATCCTCCACTGGTACCTCGTCCTCTTAAGGCGTTATCGCAGGCGTGTGCACCATTCGTTATTATCCATTAAAAAGAATAACTTTTTTCGGATAACTTCAGTAACTATGATTCTATATGCCTGTATCGTGGATATTTTGATTTTAAAATATATATATATTTATAAATTTTGTTACAGGCGAGAGTCTGGCGGAACTACACCAGGGAGGCTCACAAACAATGTCTGTGCATATGTACCTCGCCATCATTCCGGCGCTGTGCGCTGTTTTACACTGTACCATTCAATTTATTAATCAATAAATTGTTCATATTTAAATGAATTGGATTTTATTTTAATTTTTAGTTTCAAATGACGTAATTGGCAAATAAGCTGACAGACCACTAGATGGAATTTTCGTATTACAACTTTCACTAATATACATAAAGAATACTCTATTATTGAAAGTAAGGCTTTCAGCTAAATCGCTAGTCTACCGAGGTCATACTGTACTTTAGCACTTTAGGTAATACAGTAATATACTGTATTGTAGATACTAAATAACAACCAAGATGTTTTAAGCATAACGCGTACTTTATTAGTTGTAAATAGAAGCCCGCCGTACGAAATAAAATGTTATTGCACACTAAAATTTACTTTCACCTAAATTTTAGTGTGTAGTAATATTTTATAGGCGATCCTGATAATACTAGTCAATGACTGACAGCTTCGTTTAAATGTGTTTTCAAGAGCAATTTAAGAAATAAAGAATATTTCTCTAATAGTTATTAAATATTCGTACTACAAACTATGCTTTTAGGAATCAAATGGCGCTGTGAGAATTGTCCTGGTTCGTAATTTAATAATAATAACCTAATACCTAATAAACATTAGGACTTAGGATCTTATAGTACAGTACTATGTAAAAATGAACAAATTATCCTCCTGAGAATACAAAAACCATCGCTGCTAAGAATATCCTTCAGTTATTCTCCCTGACGGGCCTAGCAGTGAAAGTCTAATAAAGGCCGAGCACAATAAATCTATGCAGTTTGCAGTGCTGCAGGTCTCTTTAGCACTCTTTAGCACACCCCTTAATAAAAAAAATCAAGTCTGTCAAGACAAAAAAAAAACAACAGCGTGTCGTAATCGTAATGCGTTAATGGCGGCAAAGTGATTCAACTGTGATCAAATTGTACTAAAATTAAATTATTAATAACAGTTTGTGCAGGGCTAACCTTTAGGTAGTCAAAACCATATTGCTGTCAACTGATGAGTGTTATACAGTTAAAAAGTGGAGTCAAGATTTGAAAATGAGCTTCTGTACCCCGGTCTGATTAAGCCTTCAAGAGATCGCCCCAGCCATTAACTCTGAGTGCTTCTTTCTTTCTACCTTTCCAATGCACGCTCTTGTTACGTCCCTACTTAACCTCATCCTCGTAACTGAGCTATCCCCTTTTTACCCCTCCCTGGTCGCGTGACAGGTTACAAACAGAGGCAATCGAATTCAGGCCCGACCAGAATTAATTTTATAAATAGCGTATTTGATTTACCCAGTAATTATAGTTTCATCTCCTTCTTTATGTGCCATCTCCTACTGGAGGATGGCGATGATCCTGGTGATCTTAAATTCTTTAGCCATGAATTGCGACGCCTGCCCTGTCATCGACGGCTTTAGATATTTCCTTGAATTATTAATTATAAAAAACCAAGTTTCATAGCAGCATCTAATATTATTTTTAACAATAAAATAAAAAGTTTACATCCCCATCGGTACTTGCCATCAGCGTATTCAGATTACCCCAAAAATATTTAGAAAACAGACCTCTGTCTCATAATTTATGTAACAATCAATTTACGAACTGAAAATTATTATTGAAACCACGCGCAATACACAAAGGAATAGCGTACAATTGGCTCTTGAAGTTGCCGCTATTGTTAAATTTGACAATTTGTGTAATTTGACTACTAAAACTATTAATAGCAACTTTGTCACTATAATGGTTTCTTAATATAATTAAGTTTGTTTCTTTACAATCATCTCCCTGAAGACTTGAAAAATTATAACTTACTTCAAAATTCTTTTTAGGTTCTTATTAAATAAATATTATTACTCTGTAAATTAATTTTTGCTCGATAATTAGATGGGATGTTGAAACTGATTTAGGTATAATTTTTAATTGTGCTTATGTTAGTTTTTGCTTGTAATCTGATTTTTCTTCATCAATGTTAAATATGTACTAAAATTTAATAAAATACAATAATTATGTAAAAATCAAATGGTAGTGGTTTTTATATTGGCATATTGGAGTATAGTACTAAGTAATTGTACACTTCATATACGCTGATTTCTTTTTAAGGCTACGTCTATATTAACATCTTCTACTTTACCTACCAAAAATCTTTCACAGATAGATGAATTATTATTCCTGTTGAGTGTGAGAGCAACACGCACGTTTCTTGCTCATTCTTCTTGAGATTACTATTCAGAAGTGCTTCAATGTAAATTTAATTGAATAAATGATTTATTTTCCATTCAGTAATAAATCCAGTATCCAAATAAAACATATTACGCCGACCCCAAATAAATGGGATAAGGAAGAAGCAGATGATGATGAAATACAGTAACGTATCATCTGACGACGTCAATATTTATTACTTATTTTATTTTTCGTTATCTATCCAATGTATACAAGTTTTTCTTGAGGTTTTTTTTAACACAGGCTTTCTCATAAGTCTCTTGAAATTGAAATCTAAATATATATATGTAACTCAAACGTGACTGACATAGTGATCTATCAATGCATAGCCCAAACCACCGAACGGATCGGACTGAAATTTGGAATGCAGGTAGATGTTATGACGTAGACATACGCTAAGAAAATTTGCCAATTTTAAACCAATTGGGCTGAGATTTTGCATGCATAAAGCTACTATGACGTAGGCATCTTCATAAAAAGGATTTTGATAAATTCCACCCCTAAGGGGAAATTAACGCGAGCGAAGCCGCGGGCGAAAGCTAGTTTCGAATAAAAGGCAAATGGCGCGCAGGATTGGCACGTATGATGCGGGGGAAGCACCAACGGTTTTGCAAATGTCTTTGGAAAAAAATATTTTTAAAAAAGAATGCCCCTTTTATGTACTATTACTACGCAATAAAAAATCAAACTGTACATAGTTTTTCTTTTTCAGTTCAAAAAACTTATGGGACAATTAAGAGATTATACAGGGTAATACAACATATAGGTGTAATTATGGTTAATTTTAGTGTATTGGTTGTCTAATAAACCACGTTGTATGTTATATGTCCTAGAGTATTTATAACAATATACTACGCGTTATTCAATAGACATATAAGTATTAATCTATTCATAAAACATATTTTAAGATAAATTTAGGTAATTTCACACTAGAATGGTAGAATAATAGACGGAATCGTTTGGATTTCCATATTTATGAGGGGACTACGGTAAATAGACGTAAGTATTAAATGTTATTCGATAGTCGGTTACCGTAGTCCCCCAGTGTACGAGGGACCGCAATCCTCGTGTAATTTCGTTGAATTATTTTAGATATTTACATCTATTAACATACCCACAGATTTGGGGATACAAGATTGTACCAATCCATTACACAATCCCAATATCCTAGGATTGTCATTGGATCCACCTATATTCGAATTGGAACATCGTTAGCAAATTAAGCGCATACATTTTAAGGCGTGGTCATAGAACGTAGATATTTATTCTAAAACGTTTATATATTATAATTGTTTGATAAAGTAAAAATCTGATATTTTATGTTTGTTTCACATAGTCTTTAGATATATTAGTTTACCATTAAAAACAAACATACATGAAGACCATGCAATAAAAAAAAAAATTGGAGTAAAGGAATTAACGAAACATGGCTAAGTGGTTAATTTATATTCGGTAGAAGTAAGAGCGAGTGATTTACCAGCAAAATCTCTCTACAATCTTCTAAAGGGCTTTGGACTGTCTAGAATATGACTGGATAAGCAGTGTACTAGATCATGTATCTTATGCTGCACTAATAGGCAAATCAGATAGCAACCAGATTTGACTGGTCATGGAGGGAAATACAAGCGATGCAAGTGAGTGTTGAGGTTCAAAATCCGTCTGCAAAGGGACCTCTTAAACCTACACCCGAATCACAAAACCCAAAAACTACTCGGCGTTTCCCTCTCTGCCATACGATGCGGGATCTAGCACCCGCACGGTAAATCCACGGAAAGGAAAGAAGTTCGTCTCTTTCTATTATATAAAATTAAAATGGAAAATAAGTCCATGTAACACTGAATAATAACTGGTAATCTACATACATGAACAGCATACTGACATCACGTTATCATGTGACGGTTGTGATACTACTCATGCATTGCTAATCCGGAGCAATTCTGAAAATTTGGAAATATGTCATCCTACATGTGAAACACAACATAGAAAGCATGCTGCGGCAGCTAAAATATACCTCGATATATCTTTATTTGTTTGTTGTGTATATTTTAGTAAGGTAGAGCTTGTACATCTCATTTAGATAATACATATTACATCAAAATTATTCATATAAATATTATTATGTCGAAATTATGCGTAGGTGGGATAGAGGAAACGGGTACGAAAATTTCTCCAATTCTCTAAGGAAAAACTCGCAATATCGAATAGTATCTGTTTTCAGGGAACCGATGTAGCGAATACTAAAGTTATATATGTACGTATTTGAGATATCGTGGGTGCCTCGTTATTTTTTAGGTTTATGGATCTCCGATATGGTGTTGTATGACGGTTTAACATGATATTCAGAATAAGCAGCACTTATGTTTCTACTTAGCGATGTTAATAGATGGTTCACTACCCTGAAATAAACTTAAGAGATTGTGAGTTCAAATATGTCCGTTACAGAAAAAACTTTGTCAGTCAATGTATATTTCTGATTGATTATCTAGTGAAAGTAATACCGATTTTCGATTAAAAAATAATCCTAGACGGCGATAAACTCCCCTCCTGTCAAATTAGATTTCAATATACCAATTGAAATGTGGTCACCCTGACACGGCCTCTGACTACCCCGTTTGGGATAACCAAAATTTTTGTTATGTTACATTGTTAGGTATGTTTTTATATAAAAAAATGTTGGTTATACGCAACAATTTTGAACGTTTAAATTGTAAGTAATTTAAAATTACAAGCTGTCATAATTTTGAAACTAATACATAAGAATGAAAAATTTTTGTATTTCAGACTAAAATAGATAATAATAATAATAACCCAGGACAATTCACACAGCGCCATCTAGTTCCAAG